TTTGAAGGTAATTTATAGCGTAGGTAATCGTTTACTTGTGGATAATTATCTCTACCTGTAGGTAGCAGAAGGTAATGGTTATTGAGATCCAGATGTATCACTAACAAATGCCATTTTAGGAAATTACAAATACTTAGACTGAGTTATCGGTTTAATTATTGAGGATGCGACTGGAACTGTACAGTAAACACACCCTTTCCAGTTATTCGATTCCCTGCTCCTGAAGCCTAGGTGAACAGAAGTAAGAAATAATTTGTTGTTATTGGGAAGTCAGTGTTCCTGTCCCTTTGTGCTAACACAGGCACACTAGATGTCTGGGATGTCTACAATCACTGAAGACAGATCAGCAATGAATTGCTGCTTTGGTGAAGCAACTGTGTAGAATTTGGATTGATAAGAGTGCTTTGGGATAAGTGAGTCAGTATTTGCTAAAGCAGGTAGCAGCCTTAGGAGGCGCCTTACTCTCTATAGGTTGCAAGCTCATTTTCAGTGGGGATAAATAGGGTATCTTCTTGTGTATCGGTTTTTGCCAGTGCATCAGTCCAGGCAGAGGTTCCTGCAGTGCTTGTGAACAAAGTAATACTGTTCCTGAATGTCATGTCACCTTCTTGACTCTTCTCAATGTCTGCTGCCCTGGGAATGGAATTGAGGTCTTTAAGGATCAGTTGTCCGCTCTAAATGGCAATGCTGTGTCTTCTTTTACACGCTAGGAGTACATGCATGTTGTCTCAGGCTTTAGCGTTATCAGGAGATTGCTGTTGATCTGTTTGAGCATTTGAACTCTCTCTCGATGATATAAAATACCAGAGTTTTGAACAAAAGAGCAATGTATCCCAGTGTATATTCAACAGTGACAGATATTTGAGAGGAAGACCAACAAATTGATGGGCTTCTAGACAGCCGTTCCCTTTTCCCATTAATGGGCTGGACTCATTTTCTCATTCACTTAAAACTGTTTATTTTGCACATGGAATCTGCTGAAGTTTCCGTCTTTTTATTCCTTCTTCCAGTGCAAACTGTAAAAAACAAAAGCAAAGCCCCTGACATCATCTTGCTGCAGCAGTGGAGCGATTGGTTTTTTTCCTTGTGAAATACTTTGTAAGTACATGGTGTTACTTCCAAAAGGGAACAGGCTGGAGACATGCCTTGGAATAAGAAGCAGGTCTGCATGCTGTCATTCTAATTTTGCATTAGTGACAATATGAAATTCAGCTCTGCCCCTCAAGAAGGGAGCAGAGGCTTTTCCAAAATGATGAGAAGAAAAAAAAAAAAAGCCTGAAGTTTTGCCTAGCAACAAAGCAGTATCTTGTTTCCTAACACCACACGCTTCAAGTCCTGTTGGTTTTGGGGCATGCTGACTTCCCAGTTTTGCCTTTAGATCAGCATGGGGCTTCTGATTGCACTTGGGGTAAGTCAGAAGAGCTGATTTAATACCACAAAATCTTCTGCTCGAATCGGTTCGTACACTTGGCACAGTTTGATTTGTTTGTTAAAAAAGCCTACCAACCAGCAAGTAGCATATATAAGAAAGCTGATGGTTCGAGTGGATTGCATATGGCCCAGGAGAGGCAAGTAGAATAGGAAACATATGTTTGGCACCCACAGGTACCGCAGAATCAAGCGAGTGTGAATTGCTAAAACGTAGTTTACATAATATGGTCAATAATATGCAGCAGATGGAGTCTGAGTGTATCGCTTAAATCATGAAATCTCTGAACACTGTAAGGGATTGCACAACAGCAAACTTTAACTTTGAAGGTAAATTGATGAATGATTGCTGTTTACTCGAGCAGGTGGAAACAAAGCTAACTGAATTAGGCTGTTTTTTTTTTTTTTTTTTTTTACTTTGGATGGACAGTAGTGATGCCTGCTAATTTGCATTAAATTGTTGGGATTTGAGCAAGAAAAAAATCTTGTTGGGTGGTATGCGAGACCCAGAATTCCACTTGTCCTGCCTTTAGAATTAAGATGTTGCATTATTTTGTTAGCAAAAATTGTCTGTGTTCATAGTCTTACAGCAAGGGAAGGAAATTCTTCTGTCCCTTTGCCTCATTTTTGTTGTTTGAAAGGACTTGAAGACCACAGTGTGGGAACCTTAGGTGTGTTCTTACTGCCTGTGTGGTCAGAAGTCCATAAGAAATTCAACTAGAAGACTGTGAGTTTAACTCAGTACTAACTAACGTCTCAGCAGAGATGAAAGTTGGCACATATATAGTCTTTGCTTGCATCTTTTGTTGTTACATACTTTGCCAAAATTCAGTTTGGCTATTTTCATTTTATGCAAGTGTGAAAAATGTTATCTGTTTAAGTTGCTTCTTTGCACTTCTATGAATAAAAAATGGCTTTAATTAAATTAAGAAAGAGTTTTGACAAGTGATTTGTCTATAATATGTACTTATGGTTTGTGGCATTTCAAAGAATAAATAACCAAGATGTTGAGGCTTAAACATTGGCTGCTGCACATGTTCTGTCAATTCCTTCGTTGTGAGAGAAATGTTTCTTTGAGCATAGATTCAGGTTCAGATCCTGTAGTTCTGCATATTCAGATTTCGCACCACCTTTGGAGGTATGGGAGAATGTACCGGAGGGAGAGCTTCAGCCTGTCACTGATGTGAATGAGCTGAACTGGAAACAGCCCAGAATGTCTCAGGGGAGGTTTTGAAGGCAAGCAAAAGCAAGACTTCATTTTCAGCTCTACAGACAGGCAGGAGAATCAGAAGCAGCAGGAATTTAGATAAATCTGTGCACAGAGGAAACCAGATAAGCTGCAGCAGGTTAGAGAGAATTGAGACTTGGAAGAGGCTCTGCTCCACTACCAGCTGCAGGAGGGGAGAAGTACAAGCAATTCATTTTGGGTAAAAACTTGTCTTCTAAATATTTACTGCCGTAAAACTGCTAAAGGAAGACTGCCACTCTGGAGGCAATCTTGCACATCCATTTGAAAATCTCTAGTTGGGAAACAATTTCACAGCCTATCTCAAACGGCAAGGAAGAGATTTCTTCAAGAACTTTGCTGCTTGTGGCTGCATCCTGGCTGGTGGGCATGGTGAGGCTTGTGTTCTCCTGCCTGTAGCTGTTTCATAGCTAGTAACGTATGCAGGCTGACTGGTGGCTGGGGCTACTGAGAGTGTGGACAGGCAGCAAAAAATGGATGTCTAGTTAGCCTCTGCTGGTTAGGCTCTTCTCTTGTAGGGAGTGCACGCAGTTGTAGCAAGGTTTTGCAAAGCAGGAAACAGTTAATGAGCTAGGGAAGAGGAGATGTGCTAGTGAACACCCCAACTACTCCAATTTATAGTATCGAGCTGTGCAGTAAGAGCTGCAGTCCCTGGAGGAGGAGATGTGGGCTTTGGAGGCCTGCAATTCACAGAACAGGAGCTGATGAGAGCAGTGCTTGGAGTGTGCCTAAGAATTGAGCCCAAGGTGGTACAAACTGAGGGCTGTTCTAGTTTTGCTGAGCTTTAGGTTTGTTTTAAAAATACAGCCTGCCAGTAGCCAAGAAGCATCCCAGAATGAACCTATCAGCTCACCCCAGCCTATTGTTTTAGTGGCTGCCTTGAAATCACAGGCACTGGCACCCCTGCTGCTTAATATGTCTTGCTGTCACTGTAAGTGCCTTCAGAAAGCCACAGCTATGGGTGGAGAGGCAGGTGACACACTATTAGCAGTGACACATTGCTTCTGAAGAGCTGAGCCAGTGTCACATTAAACAGAGTGCAAGCTGAGGGCTGCCTCTGCTCTTTGCTAGCAGGGAACTTTCCAAGCTTGCTCTGAAAGTGGCTGTGCTTTGTTCTGCAAGTCAGCTGCACTCTGTCTCGTTGGTACAGCCTACCTTTTTCTTGCTCTTCCTTTTATTCTTGCTGACTCTTTGACACCCACCACCTCCCTGCCAGCCTGGTGAGGCTGATCAAGCTGTTCAAACAACTGGAAGACATCAGAAGTTAAACACTCATTATTTTAATTTGATGCTAATCATGTGTTAATGAGACTAATCCTTGCAATGATTCAGGTAATTTGCTTAATGGCTGCCCAGAGTACAGATTACAGCAATCAGTCACGTCTGATAAGATGTCTGTTGTGGAGGAGGTTGTCAGGTGAATGAGGTGGGAGAAGACTATGGAGTAAGGTCTGATCTCATGCAAGTCAGGAGTCCTCGACTATTTACAGGAGGGAAAAAAGTCTTGCTGCACAGCCTTGTGCTTCCCAGAGAAGTTATTTTCCTCCATTAGCCAGGATAAAGAAGTTGAAATAGGGGTGCTTGGGATTCTGTCAGCTCTGGAGGTCAGATATTCTCTTGCCTTGAGAAGGGAGTAATGTGTGGCCCACATGAGTGGGACTTGTGCTTTGTGATGTCATTTGGATCATGACAGAGACCAAGTATAAATGAAATCTGGATCTGGTATAATCTGATAGATATGAGTTCTCATTTCTAGACTTTATGAAATCGAATCATTAAGGTTGGAAAAGCCTACTAAGATCACCTAGTCCAACCGTCAACCCATCACCATCGTTGCCTCCTAAATGGTGGGCATAATTCTGCTGGGATTGTCTGATCATGTACTAGCTGGAGCCCTCTGCTTTGGTTTCTCAGTTCTCTTCAAGAATAGAAGCAGAGCTGCTGGACTAAGTCAATGGGCTTTTAGTCCTCATTGGAGATGTTCTTATGAGTAGTCTATATACTCCCAGTAAGACCTGTAAGCCCTTCAGAATAAAGGCAAAATAATTTAGGCATTTAGTTCATAATGAATGCTATGTAATGTGTGTCTTAAACATTAATAAAATAGATACACATAGGTGATTACTTATAGAGAGAAAAGAATAATCAGTAATGATAGCAAAAGGGAAAATATAGAAGGCTTTTATACGTAGGTCACCACAATTTTGTTCTGACAGTAAGTAACTTAAGTGTTACTTAAATGTAAATTTTTGGGTACGCTGCACAAAACAGTAGGATGAATATTCTGTTATTTGAAAGCATTTTAACATTTTATTATTGGTTTCAGAAAAACACTGAGAATCCCAGAAGTTCGCCAGAAAAGCAGATTTGGTTGAAAAGGCATTTGTGGTGCTTTGGACAGAATACGTGAGTTCACACCAGGGGACTTGCACTACATTCCTGGATGGTCTGCTGCCTTCTCCAAGGTGAGTGTACCTGATTGTGGTGCTCTCATGTGTTTCTCCAGCTCCTTATATCTACTGCTTCTAGAGTTTAAATATTCTGCAGTACAGAAACCTGTGTTTACACATGTAGCAGGCTACGAGGGCAAGACATCAAAGGGCTTGTCTCTGCCAAAGCTACTTGGGAGAAAAAAATCCCAACAAAACACACAATATTTTCTTGACTGCTGTGGGCAAATCACATAAGGAGGTAAGTCGTTTACTTATTTCTACAGATGAGGAAGGAAGATGTAAGTGGGTGCAATCATGAAGAGTAGGTAGGGAATAAACTCAGACTTATAGACCTTAATTATAAGGCTCAGTCTTGATTGTCTTCATGGTGTATCATGCGAACTGGAAATGAAGGATGCTTCTGTTTGCACTGGAACTTGAGATATCCCCCAGGAAGCTGTACTGTACCCTCACTGTATTGCAACAGATCTTAATAAAAAGGGGAAAAACAGTTTAATCAGCAACTAAAATAACATCTCAGTATTTTATTACCCTGCTAAACACCTAGTGCACTGTCAGCCCCCCCCAGAGGCTTGAATAGAGCTGTTAAAAATACAGTGAGCAGACGTGCAAATCACAAAGGATAGGAATTCCTCAGCACTACAAGAGTGCCATCAAGGGATGTTTGGCTTCAGTTTCCTGCACTGAGATGTAGGTAAATGAACCAGGGTTTAGGATTCCTGGAAGAAAAAAAAAAAAAAAAAAAAAAAAAAAAAGAGAGTGTAGTGGCTTTCTTAAACTTCAAATAGTGGAAACCCACTGATGATTCTTCCATCTCCAAATTCAGGAATTGGAAAATATTTTTTGGTTTTCTTCATTATGTATGGCAGCAGGTGTTATTACTTGTTAAATGATGTTTTGATTCAACTGTTTGTATGTGGCAAAATATGTTTGGATTTAATCATTTTGCATCTTCATTTAAAACCAAAATTGTTATAGGCTTTAAGGGGCTGACATTGTCTTAAAACACTCATTTAATAAATTAGAGTAAACAGATGTTATTTTTTTCCCCATTAGAACATTTTAGCTTTTCTAGTTGCATAGAGATAATAATTATCTCTCTCACATTGATTAAAATGCACAGTATTAATGTCTTACTCTGTCTGGTTTCAATTGCATTATTTCTCAGTGGGTTTTATTAAGTACTGCAGAGTTAAGTTATGATTAACTTTGCTATTCCAATCCCACAGCGTAAGCACATATTTGGTGCTACTATGCTGTGCTTGCATGAAAAAGTGTTTTCCTTCTACAGTGTCTGCTAGACAATATCTAGGCAAATATTAGACAGCGGACATTTCAAATTAATTGATGTTGTATGTTGTTCATTAATTAGTTTTGAAATTTGCATTGAACTTAAGGAATTCAAGGAAATGTCAGTTCAGAGGTACCATGACAATAAACACTAATTAAGGTCATGGGAAGAGATGTCTGGACAGGATCTTGTTATTCGTATGTCAATCTGTGGACTGGGAGTTGAATCCAACCATGAGTGTTTTCTTCCCTTTTTTGCTGAACTTTAAATAAATAAAAAAATAAATAAAAATTTACCTAGCTACTGTGACTGACAAAAATGTCTTTTAGAAATGCCATTGAAGAACACCAGCATTGATACTCAGAAAAGCATATGGTCTATATATACAGTTTGTGATCAAGTGGGTGGTAGTCCCTGCTTGCGCATTTTATTTCTTGTGGTGGTTAGTCTTATGTGGTCATTCTGTGATCACTTTACTTGTTGTTTTTGCTGTTATTAGTGAGCTCTTCAGATTTATTAATCATTTCCCAGGCTTTAAGTTACTTGAGAGAGTCATTTGTTTATAATGTATGTTTTAACAGCTTGATTTTTTTGTGATTTTAATTAATATTGAGTTTTAAGTCTAAAATTGCATGGCAAATCATTATGGAGAGCTATTACCTTGAATACTGCTGCTGAAGACTTGTTAAATAATGTAACTTTGTCTTCTTTATTACTAAATTCATTTTAACAGTCTTGGAGCTGGAATTCAGGGGTAGCATTGGCAGAAGTAGCTTCTGGTGTTGTTACACTGCTCCATGAGCACCAGTTCTTTATTACTCAATACTTAGTTGTATGTCTTGCTACAGGATTCTATGGCATAAAATAAAAAAACAAACAACAAAAAGAATCTCTCTCTGTGAGTGCTGCTAATTTTGCTGGGTATCTGCAGGTTTCAGTCTATGTCTTAGTGTTTGAGCCCACTGCTGACTTGCTATTACTAAGCAGAATTTGGAGGGACAAAAATATTTGCCCACAGGAATTCAGCTGAGGGGTTCTACTGTTGCTGCCAACAATTTTTATATTTGAGAAGTATTTGAAGGTTTTATGGTGACTTTTTAGTAGCTGAGGGAGTTGCCTTCTGTAAGATCCCACAGCATTTGTACACTAATCTTGAATTCATCATGTGACCGTAGGGCTTTTCTATTCTGAGAATGCTGTATTGCTTAGCAATAGAATTACTCTTAACTAGTAAGAACTAACTGAAGTTTGAACTAAGAAGTTGCACTGTGCTTCTTTGGCTAAATAGAATCACTCCAGTGAAAAGACCTCAAAGATCATCAAGTCCACCCACAACTTAACCATACTACCCTGACTCTAACAACCCTCCTCTCAATCGTGTCCCTGAGCACCACATCCAAATGGTTTTTAAACACATCCAGGGATGGTGACTCAAACACCTCCCTGAGCAACCTATTCCAGTGCTTAATAAGCTTTTCTGTAAAGACGTTTTTCCTGATATCCAACCTAAACATACTCTGGCACAACTTGTGACCATTTCCCCTCATCCTGTCACCAATGAGATTCCCAAGCTGATTCTTGTCTACGAACGCTGATTTTGTGGTCTACCTTAGTGGAGAGAATGTGAATGAAGAGCTCTATATATGACATGTTCAGAAAGCTTTGCACAGTAAGTTGCCCTTCAGAGTGTCAATGTACATTCTTCAATGCGTGTTATTTAAAAAAAATCACATGCATATCCAAATAAATATATGTGAATAGATGTGTATTTAAGATAAACAGCGTATTTGAAAAGAATAATAGATGTATATTTTGTAAAATTTTCAGTTGAGTGCTGTACTTAGACGTATGGCTTCTGAAGATCCAGGTAGCCCAGTGTTTTCAGCTTCTATGCATGAAGATATGTTTCTGCCTCAAGCACTTCTAAAGGTAGATATTCTTACATAAAAAAACAAACAAACAAACAAACAAAAAACAAACAAACAAACAAAAAAACAAAGTTAGCTTTTTATTGCAAACTATGGTTGGAAACCAATAAATTTGTATTTGGGCAGTGTGTGGTAAGCTCAACTTCCAGGCACAACAGTAACAGGCATTTTAAATAAATATTCCCCAAATGTGTGAGGAGGAACTCTTCAAAAATGTAGGTAAGGGTGGAAGCAGGTAGTACTATGTGATCCGAGCAGTAGCTTAGCACCCTGACTTCAGTCTTTTCTTTTGCATATGCTTGCTTAAGAAATGATCAGTGCTAACTGTCCTCTTTTGTTTCTCTGTCAACACGGGTAAAAATCAAGAAGGTTGCTGGGAAATACTGCAAGTAGAATCTTTCCTCCCAAAATTTAAAAGTTTGTGACTCCTGCTATGTCTAGAACAGCCTGAGTTTCCTGGGATTGTTTTTCAATGGAGCATGTGAAAATAAAATCATAAAAAACTAATATAGTTTGTCTTCTAATCGGTTTTCTACTAACTTGTATTTGGAAAAGCACACATTTGGAGCATTTTTATAATGTCGATGATTATGTATCCCTCTAATTCCCTGTCCATCTGTAGAATAAACGTTTAGGCTGTGTGTAAACTATACCAAGTCTATATCATACATAATGTATGACTGTATATGATAATGTGCCATGAATGTCAAATTTTATTTTATTAAATATAAGCTGCTCTTCCATCTGCGCATTGGAGACCCCATGTATTGTATGCCAAAAAAAAAAAAAGCACCATTTCAAAGTATTATATAATTTTACATGGAACGATCTGAAATACCTCGGTTTTTCCACTTGCTTAAATGGTTAAAACTCCAGCATTTCTAATTCCTCAGTTGTTCTCTCTTGCTATGTAAGAGCAACGTCAGTATGGCAATTTAGCAGCAATGTAAGCTTGGACAAGTTTGCCAGAAACACTGATGGTCGCATTCTTGACTGCTCTAACTCTGTTGGCTTCAGGGGTTTAGTAGCAGTACTTTGTGTGAGTAGAGCTTGGTCCTCGCTTCCAGCCTTTTTCTCTAGCAATCCAGCTCTCCGGTGTTGACGAGGCCTTCAAATGAGCAAAGAGACAAATGTTTGTCATAGCTTTTGAAGCTTTGGCAGACAAGCTGCTAGGACCTTTAGTTGGCACCTATGTCTGGTTCCAAAAAAGCCAACCTTGTCAGGGCTGCCTTTTTTTTTTTTTTTTTTTTTTTTTTGCAGAGATTTCGCATTGTATGTGTGCCTGTGACTCTGTGTCTGAGTGCCTCATGACACTTTGCAATAGATTGACAGAAACCAGAAGCCAGGTTCGTCAAAGCCACAGATTTCTGATCCAGAATTACAGTGTCTGATTTGTGCCAGCACAGACCTAGACTGTCCAGATAGAGTGAACAGGAGGAAAATATAATGCCAAAAAGGAAGAGGCTGAAATCTAATTAATCAGAAACAAATAAGTCATCCTAATGGCAATGCAGAAGCAGTATCAATTTAATTTGAGAGTACCCTATGTTCTGTAAGGATGACATTGTACAGTAATTCTGCTGCCAGTAACTGCTGCTAGAATTGCTGAATAGTAAGAAACAAATGAGTTACTGCCTCCACTGGTCTGTATTTTGCACGTTTAAATGCTGTAGTACTTCAAGCTCAAATTCTGCTTATGACACCTGGTTTCTCCTGTACATACTGGTTTTTGTTCCATTTTTCCACAGCAGTGGAGTAATTAAGCCTAGGCAGTAGTACATCTGCTGCTAGAG